AGTCACACCGATAACAAATCCTCATGAGACCAACTTTGGTTCCACTGCTGTCATGTGCTTGTCAAACAGTGCCTCCAGCGAGATCATCGGCGAGACCTCTGAGTATCGAACACCGCCATCCTCGAGCTCTTCCCATGCACATGTCACCGTTATTCTTTATGGTTCAATGTTCTGATAGTGTCTCAAGCAAGGCTACTTGTGCACGCCATCGCGGCCACAGGTCTCGTGCGGTTGAACGTTTGTTGAAATAAGTACGCCTGCTCGGTGCTTCTGCCCCATCACCACCCATTCATCGTCAGCCATGATCGTGGCTGGAGAACAGACAGACCAAACCGACCTCATGGACCTAAAAGACGGAAGATGCGTTGGGTCGGTTGAACTTGAGACTTGTCTTTGCAAGACGACTCTTTCACTGTCTTGGCAGTGTCGTCCGTCGTAGGTGCAGTGTGAGACTAGATGAAAAAGACCGTGAGTGAACCCTCATTATCAGACACATGCTAACCATCTTGCAGGGCCACTAGCCAAGACGCTGCGAGATTTGCACGCGTCTTGCGCCGGCGTCACCTTTGGTCAAAAGCGATGTATCGCGCTTTGGAAACTGTTTCGAAGAAAATCAACGTGATTTATATTGCTAGATCGCTCCACCTTTTCACTTTACCCCTTGATGCCGACTGAGAACACCAGCTCCTACTCCACACCCTTGGGAAGTTGAGGCAGCCATGCGACCAATATACCGACCGAGAACGCACAATACTTGGTGAGGTGATAAAGTCTAAGTCTGATAATCTTGGGTATCGAGGAACCCTTTCACCGGGGAGCTGGCTTCCTCATTTGGAAAGCGTGTGAGTCAGAAGAATGCCAGAAGTCTATCCGGTGGTGGACGAATCTTGCTTTCCGGGACAGGCGTCGATCGCCATGGACCAGTCCAACAAGATGGCTATGGAGCATTCAGATCTGCCACAAGGCCTGTCGCTTTCTGTTATTCTCTCCCTGCCTTTGTCAAGTCTGGCGGAAGCCTTTGTCACCAGACAGTAGAGAGTCATCGCTGTCGACGACAGTGATTCTTCTGAAGCAAATGCGGCTGGAAGAGTAGATTGCAGGCTCATTCATATCGTCCATTCACTCTCTGCAGAAATGATGCCAGCGAAATAGCCACCTTCACGCGATCCTGCTGCACGTGAATGAAGCGACCGTCACCCCCAACCCCTGCGGTCACAGTGCTCTGTATCACAATTGACCTTGCATTGCATCTTAATCAAGATGAACTGTCCTGGCTCTCTCGACAGCGCGAGGCATCTCCATTGGAAACCATTATGCAGCGCATGTTGAACTTTACAGCTGGGTGCTACCATTGGGCCAAACAAGTCATTCGAACCGTTCTGCGTGGCGTACTAGAAGCGTTTGTGGGTAGATCCGTTAATACAGCGCTCGTCATCGCCGCGAGAGGGATAGCAACGACATGCATCTGCGAGCCCGCAAACTGAGCATTGCATCATTTGCTGGAGGGCCCTCCCTGTTTTCACAGATCCCTAATACCCAAGATAAGTTCCTCGGCTTTGATCGTTGGTGCCGGTGCTCGTTATTTACTGACACAGATCATACACCTCCCCCCGACCGATGAAGGCATCTAGCTCCGTTACCCGTTGATGTTTCGCCATCACTCACGTCTATCAGCGAGGGCCAAGGTCACAAGTCTCAACCGCATCACCATATCCCGCACGTATGCCACCTTTGAGCCTGGCCACCAAGCCGACCGAACTTTGCCTCTCTAGGCTTCTTTCAAGTATGACAGCATGAGCAATTTGTCTTTTGCAGCTATGTCCCGGCCAGCCAATACCATACCAGAATACACTGAACACCGAACTTGCGACCAGCCCAATCCATACTCAACCACCTCAGGTCAATACTACAAGGGTGGTACAACTGTCAGCCGGTACCTGGCAAGGTGAGTCAGAAGTCGTTTCCTGATCCAGTCACTAATACCGTGCCCAGTAGGACATGCCTTCAGGGCACACTGCGGGCGAATCATGAAAGCTTCAGGCTACGATGGAATGCCACCTTCCAGCCCATCTTGGATCAAGGCAACGTCGACGATGTTTCGCGAGAGTTGAGAAAAGAATCAATGTGCCAGACAAGTCCACAAACCCATTCCGCCACGGACAAAGAGCTATTGTTGAGCAATATATATACGGACAGATGAGTTGTGAGGTCGAGGATGATAAAGTGTGAGTGAACTTCATTGAGCTGGATGTATGCTAACAACTTTTGAGAGTCACTTGCCAAGTGGGATCAACTCGACGGCACACGGTGCAAACGCTCGAATTGCTCCAACGAACCGCCTCTCATTCCATGAACATCCTGAACCGACATGAACGAGCAGTACAGTACCAGACGGTGCTCTTTATCAGACTACTCCGAAATGGGCGCGACTACCGGACGCTTGATCAGGCAACCTCCCAGATAGTCCCGGTAGTGCGGCCAACCCATTGAGGCGAGAAAAGTGAGCTCCCCAGTTGAAAGTACCATGTGACGGGTATGTCGCCTTGAACTCGGCGCCCAAGCTCGAAAACATAAGATCGACTGCGGTAAAATGGCATTTAGCGCCTCAATGTCAAATGCCGACACCGAGTATCCCTCGCCAATCCCGACAACTTGGGGGTATCAGTGTCCTACTTTCAGCCGAGACGCCAATTATGAAGACCGCCCTCACACTACAAATGGGTGGCCGGGTGATCAATGGCGACCAATCTATATCCTAGGGACTCCTGGAGCCCTTGGTTCTCCCGCTACCAACATGAGCATCTTTCATTATGTAGACTGAAGCGGGGATCATCACAAATATCCTTTGCCTTCAAGCCCAAACAATGAGCATTGGCTCTTTTGCCAGACTTTCCAAAGGGTCACCTTGGTGATTGGGCAGTGCCAAAATGAGTTTATTCGATTTGAATTCTGCACCCGTCATCCAATTTTCAATCGCCCGTCAAAACGCTGATCAGTCATCGGATAAACGTAAGTCAAGAGTCTCTTTTTTGACTTTTTTGCTAACGTGTGCCCCGCCACGGTTATCTGGCTCAAGTTAGTGCCTTGGCTGGAGTCGGTCTTGTGGGAGTCGGTCTTGTGGGGGTTGGCTTGTGGGAGTTGGCTCGTGGGATTTGGGCTCGTGGGCATTGGTCTTGTGGGCATTGGTTTTGTGGGCATTAGTCTTGTGGGCATTGGTCTTGTGGGCATTGGTCTTGTGGGCATTGGTCTTGTGGGCATTGATATGTGGGAATGGGCTCGTGGAAGTGGCGGTGAAAGTCGGCCATGAGCTGAGAGGAAATCAGATACATCTGCTCGAGGTATGCTTCATGGCCTTTCCAGTCGGCTACAGCTGTCATAGAACTCAAGAGAGAGAGAGAGAGAGAGAGAGAGATTCGAAGCGATCTTTAAGAGTGGACTAGAGCGAGCATTGCTTGACTCAAACTTGGAGACCGGGAGAGCCACCAATACATGGGCTGCATTGTCAACCGGAAGCCACCAGCATGAGCAGAGGATTAAGCAAAGTCGAGTATGAAGAGCTGTGAGGAGGTCTTCTCGACTGATGTCGACTGACTTATTGCAAAGGCCAGTGTCATGTGCGGACCAACTCCGCGGGACGTCGCGTAAACAATCCTGCCCCCGCGTCTGGAACGACCTTACCGCCTTTGCCGTCGCGTTGGATCAATAACTGTCAATCACTAGGATTCTGCCAGATACATGCAACCAATCGGATAAAAGATGAAGTACAAGTCGCATTTACCAGAACGTCGCCGTTTCCGGCAACCCCCTGCGTTTGGTTTAGCGCCCGTCCCGTGCCGGCCAGATCCGGTTTAGCAACACCCAGATTAGGCATGGTGTGCGAAGCTATGCCCCAACGGGAATTGCCGCCCGTCTCCGCCTTAGCCGGTCTTCATGGACTATATAATCTAGCCGGTGCGTCGCTCGACGACCTTTTCTTCCCACGTCCGGATCCTCCTCGTCCAGTCTGGCAACCTGCGCTCGGACGCCACTGCTCCGGACCCCTGCCACATCGGAGATGCATCGGAGATGACGGTCCCAAAAGGCGTTCTCAGGCCCCCTTCCCTCCCCACTTTTGCCGCATCTGAAGGACGCTTGCTTGCACCAACTTGGTAGTGTGAGTCGCTGATCTCTGTTTTTAGAGGGTGAGAGAGACCTTGTGGCGTATTTCAGCCAGTTTGACTGGCGTGCCGTCCACTTGTCATTGGTGCTCTCGCCTGCGCACGCTCCGTTCCAACACGCCCAAGGCGTTCATCAAAAATCTGCGCAGGGCCCCATGTCTCATTCCAAGCGTACTAAGATGACGTATCGATGTGTCTGCATCTGATCAGTAAAATTTGAGAGCCAATGGCAGAATTGCCTCATGTGTGCTACTCCCATCCGACAGCCCCCGCTGGAGCCAGGTCTCATTCTCGAGGCGAGGTGATGACCTGCCGACGAGGGCGCAGTGCCTGCACCTTCTCAGCCGCAGCGAGATACCCAATGGCGGAAATGCCTCATGTAACTTTACCGTGCACTCTGTCTACATGCAGCCCGCTGGACAGGCTTGTCCGATGTGGTCATTGGCAGCCAGCCCATCGGAACTTCTGAACGCCCAGACGACTCCATAAAACTTGCTACGAAAAGATCCGGTTGGTTCAAACTGATTTGTTATCCCCATGATGTAAAATCTAACTAGGATGGTCCGGCACGGGTTGTGATGACTATTCCTATGCGATGCGCATTGTGTTGCTACTCTTGATGTTTGACTGGTCAACCTTGATTTGCCGGGAAACCAAATGAGTGATGCCAATATCATATGGAACGGGATTGGTTCGTTTTCTAGCGTCAGCCTCGGACCTGGGTCACGTTGGTGTATGAAAATTTCACATAGAGTGATTTCGGATCATTTATAACTCACCCGCGCTCCCGTTCCATTTCGCTGTCCAGCATATTTCATTTGGTATTTGGTGATTCTGGCCGCCATGCACGTTAGCCTTGACAACATCAACTTTTACTCTCATCCCGCTGCAAAACCCTCCTCACGTGCCTTCCCTGATTCCTGCTGGAGGGCCTATAATGCCTCGGTGGCTCCGCAAACGCTTCCGCATGTCCTCCCGCCGAGCCCAAATTTTCATGAAACGTCCTTCAACTCCGCATCTAGTCCTAGCGCCAATGTATCTCGAGAATTCCTTGTTAATGTGAGGGGAAATTTGGATGCAAGTGCAGGCAGTGAATTCGATACCGAGATAGAGGCAGCTATGGCGCAAAGCAGCCAAGCCACGCTTGGGACAGACTTTAATATGCACCTCGACTCAGGACTCCGAGAGGAATGTCATACCGATGCGCCTCAAAGTGACCGCACTTGCTTGAATACTGGTATGTTGGACCCATTGCCGAGCTGCGGCGATCGAGCTCAACTAGTTTATCTATTAGATTATCTCGAAAAATCCCCTTCAGGAGAGCCTCGGGGTGGTGGAGATACGGATCTGATCCGAGCAGAACCGCAATTGCATCATCCAGGTAGGGACATCTGTTATTTTATTTTTCAATTTATTTACCTAACCTATACTAGGCCCACCTGTTACCCCGGCTGATTTGCTGAGTTGGAATCAAGGCAGCATATCATCGCCAGGGACTTGTGATCAGACTGATAAAAGCCCTGCTCCGCCCGAAGTCAGCTTGAGCTGCCCGCGTGTCTTGCCATCACCTTCCCCAGATTTGCCAGCACGACCTAGAATTGGCACCATTATGCAAGACGGATCCGCAGTAGACGATGCCAACTTTGGGCCCGAAATCCATGGAGATCGGGTGGCAGTCCCGGAGGATAGGGTAACAACAATACAAATTGGTGAGGCTGATGAACCGTCGATCAGCCAGACTATTTCGGATAAGGATACCAAAGGCAGATCTACTGAGAGCCAAACCTCTGACTCCTCACGTCTCGGACTTCAAATTCGCGGGGCTAAGCAATCGCTAACTACGATGGCAAGCAAGCCTTGCCTTCGTCCGCGACGAATAGCAAAATCCACATTACCTTCTGTTTCCGTTATTATTCCAGCTCGTCGAGACGATGAATTAGTGGCAAGGACCAGGAATCACCCCCCAACCAGAGCCCGAAGTTGTAGCCACTCAGGCGACAGCGAAACTGAAAACAGCAATCTCGATAATGATCTAAAAAAGCAGACTTTGACGTCAACAGTTTCAGGTGGATCGAATCTCAAGGCAAAGGGGCGCCCACGGGGAAGACCAAAGAGGGTACAGGGAATCGTCTTAGCCCCGAGAAAAGATAGCGTCGGGAAAAGCACTAGTCAGTCTCAACCGGCCCTAGGGGGTGGTTTGGCTGTCACTTTGGATAAATCTCAAGAGATTTTCGGCCGCGGAGTTCTTCGTATCCAAGCTCACGGTCCTCGGCATGTCTATTTCATGACGTTCCTGCCAGAGATTTCTCATAGTCCTTCTACACCATCACCCTCTGAGACACCTCCTGAGCACTCTTCGCGCCCTGAAGAGTTCTTGAACAGCGCAAAACCGCGACAGATAGGACGCAGCAAACGTCATGAAAGAGAAGTAACTCCAGCTTGTGAGGATAAAGCCGGATGTTCAACCAAAAGCGCCACGACTGCCACGACACTCATCATATCGTGAAGATCGCAGCAAAACTCAACAAAAATCCAGGAGGCGCTTGCCATGGTCTCCTGAAGAGGTCGAATACCTGCGGCAACTAAGAAGTACCGAGCAACGACCATGGTCAGAGGTGTTGAGGTTATTTTCAGGCCGATACCCGGGAAGAAGCCCCGGCGCAATCCAAGTCTACTGGAGTACTACCATCAGAAATAAGGGAGTGAGACGGTACCTTTAGTCGTCGTCTGTAATCTAATGCGATGCGATTCTATAACTTGTCCCTCAGCCCTATTGCTGGGTGGATCCAGAGGGGAAAAAGCACTCCTAACTGGAAACCCACCATCTAAAGCGCCTCGTCGCTTATGTCGAAAAAGGTGGGGCGTTAGACGGCCATAAGGATGTGCCAGAAATAGTTCGCGAAGAGCTGTATATGTAAGAATAGCATAGACTGGAGATGACCAGTAGCAACGGAGGATATATTATCGGAAACGGAATACCCTATCCTCCTATCAATATCAATGTCCATCCATCACAGTTTGCTGCCACTGGGTTAGATAATCCTGCCACCCAGACGGATACTCACCGGAAGATTCTCAGCTCACTCGATATTCTGGGCCCAGAGATGAAGCGGTCAAGGAATAGTGAGTGGCAGGTGATTAATGCAACTGATGACACCCTTAAGGCTGCATTTCGACAAGTCTGTGTTCTAATACTCGAGAATGGCCTTGATCTTAGGCAGGTCTGTCAGGATCAAGACCCGGAGCTCTTAATTGGCAAAGGTATGAAAATGGGTATTGCTCGACGGTTCGTACAAGCTATTCAGCGCTGGGTCGAAAGCGTTAAGAAAGCGAACTCTATTTATGAAATAATTTGGGTGGCCTCGTCATTTTTGTGTTTGGTTGGAATTATGTCCTTTAATCCCTCAATTTTGTTCGTAGGGTGTACGATTTGCCCAACGACGGGACCTATAATTACGGTATTCTTTCATGCGGTTAGTTGTATGCCAGATATGGCTCCCGTTGGTGCCCCAGGCACCAACTGCCTTGTGCCCATTTTGGCCGATCGCCCAAATGGTCCGATCGCCAACTGATTGGCCCGTAACTGCTCCTGGGAGATCCCTCCGTAGTGGGTCCGTAACACCCCTTTGGTCTGATAGTCACAGAGCAACCCTTTCCTCCGGAGACCCCTTTTCTCTTAGTTCTGTATCCCTTGTTTCAGCTGACATACTCTGCGTTACGTCATTACCTCGGTTTTGTCCTTACCCCCGCTGAAACATCGTGACACCGCCAAAATGACAGCTTTTAGCACTGAGATTAGTGCAAATCGACCGCAAAATGAATGCTTGGTAGTGAAAACTCTCTGTCGAAATTGTACACAGTTTCTGGCTCGTCGGTCATATATCTTTGGATCAAATTCGACCCAAGGGAATTTCATTTTCAAAGACAATTTCTTGGACTGGAAGCCATCGCTGTTGTTTACATGGAAGACTGCGTGCGCGAGGCTCCATAAAGGCGGCCTACACCTTGGTACCCCGGGGAAGCCCAGTCTCAGCCACTTTGTACGCCACTCCAGGCGATTCAAGTACTGTTCAATGATCCCATTGGTCTATCTATCTCCGCACTAGTGCGTACAGCGTTCCTTGGACTCGACACATCTGTATCACATCACATGTGACTCATGTAGGATGCTGCACTCACATCGCTCTACCCGCCGTGTCAGGTATTCGTATTCCCCCCGTCTGTATGAATTATGCAGCTCCTATGCATGTTCTTACGAAGGTGACGCTGCATCTTACCTGGAAGATACTGTGCTTCACCCTTATCCGCTTCCTCTTGCCCACTCAGCCCTCTGCTCTTGCCGCTCAGCCTCGCCGCGACATTGATCGCTCACTTAATGATGTTGTGATACAAGGCAAGTGTTCATCAGGAACAAAGCTGCAACATCGGAATAATTCCTGCATTTCTATATGAAGAACCAAACTAATTGGAAATCAAGTTGGGATTCACGTTGTGTATATATATCCTCATATTTCTCTCTGAATAATAAAAACAAGTAATCTTCCTTTGAAAAACAACAAATGATCGTCTTGATGTGGAGTTTTTTTCTGATTGTCCAATTTCCAAGGTTGCTAGCTGTGCAGTCTTTCCGCCCCAGCGGCATCTTCTAGCCCCACTAAGTCACTCGTGCTTCAGGTTAACTAGTTAACAAACTAATTCCCTGAATCGTAAGCCTTATCTCCCACACGTTGATTATCGTACCTAGTGTGTCAGATAGCCCTGCTTTCCTCTTCACAATGTCTATGCCCTGCAGCTAATATACATGTTCGTGTCCGAGGAGCACTGCACTTAACTCCACCAACAACGCTAGTTCTAGCGCATCCCACTTCGCGGGCTTCCCGTTGTCTCGCCAGTTTCCTTCAAATGTTCCCACCTTAGCACTCGGGATTGCCGATGCGTAGTTTACAGCCCCTTAAACCAAGGCAGGTTTCCTATAGGGATTGTTGCCTTACTTTGGGCCTTTATGCAGCTAGACCTTGGTTTCTACCATAATTTCGTTCCTGTTTTGCTCTTCGAGGAAGAACACTGGAATGAAGTTTGGATGAGCGCTAGTTTAGGGACTTTATTCTACTGGTCAAAAAACCAACATTTGAATGGATATCACTTTATGTCCTGATAACTCGTTTTTTGAAAAAAAAAAAAAAAAAACATAGGTGGAAATGTTCAAATCAGATAGATCGAGTTATTTACGATATTATCCTTGAAAGCCACTCACTTACCCGCTTGAATCGTTTACTGTTCGCCGATCACTAGAAATCTACATTCCAGGTTCAAATGTTGGTTTACTCCGTACATTAAGTGGGATCGGAGCACTGGTGTGGGTCTTCAGGTGCGCCACTATGCAAGTATCACTATCACATCCACACATGTACGTAAAATCACTCTGCCACTCCACAGTACTTGAGGTTGCCAAGGATGGAGCGTATAGTGAGTATTTCGGGAATAGGATTAGTTTTGTAGAAACTCGGTCCGAGTCACACGTGCACACTTCCGCCCCACAACTCCAGCCAATATTGAATCATAAGTCTCGAGTCCCTCACTTCAAGTTACACTAATGTACGTGATATGCATTTTTCAAATCTAGGCGCCGGCGGGATAACGGTGGCCACCTGGGCATATTGTAAGGTTGCGGTTCGTCCCGAATACACCCACGTTTTTAGGCGCAGCCTACAAGCACGCTGCTCCAGTACTACCGGCGATGACATCAATCCTGGCACGCTACCTACTTCAATAATACGTAAATTTGGACCAGGATCTATCATTGTTTTACTATGAGTTATACCTTACAGCTTCTTGTGCCCATTATGAAAGCACTTGCGAGTCTGAAGAGTGAAGATGATCTCGTGACAACATGCACTTGTGCACATATGAATATTAACTATGAGTTTTGACCCACTCGAGTAATTTTCTTCAGCTGGATACATAGTCTTGTCTACATATGTAATGTAGACGAATATGTGCATTGAGATGCCGTGACATCCACAGGCAATCTACAGTAGGTCACCAAGAAATTGGCCCTAGTGCAAATTGACCTCACGATTGCATTTGGCCAACTACCCAACACTCCTCAAGCTACCCAGATTTCCGGACCATGGAAAGACACATCGAGTTTGTAGGAGCTGTGGGGGTGTTCATGGGATGCAAGTGAGGACTAAAATGGAAAGAGGGTCATTTTGCCACCTACAGTACTTTTTTTCGAGCCAGTAAGCAAAAATGGGTCGGTTTTTTGCAAAACTAATGCGTGCCACGTCAGCGAACTAGAGCTACATGTACTAAAGTCAATGGCGCCTCTATCAGGCCCGGCACACATATTGACACGTCAATTTCGATTTGGTCCAGCTCCGTCAGTGTATTTTTGGGTGTATTTGGGCTTTGTGGCAGACCAACAACCACTCTATCCTGGCGGCACTTTGTTCAGGCTTTTATAAAAGCGCGACATTGTGCCTGACCCATTACCCTTCACCATCTGAATTGGGGTTTTTACATCTTCCATTGGAGTTCGCGCCGGGAAACCCCGATCAAACCAAAATCATGACATCGAGCGATTCGATCATCCCGCCCTTGACTGACGAAGTTCTCAAGGCGTGGGAAGAATCGAAGTCAAAGTTTGAGGCTGAGACGAAATTTCGCTTTGAGAAGAATCTTAGTCCTGATACTGCCAGTCGCGGTGAATGGACGAAAGCACTTAAGGGGGGTCGTCAAAAGGGGAAAATGAAGCAATTCGCTGAGTCTTTGCTCACCCCAAACGTGAAGATAATCGAGGAAAGCCTCGATGTCATTTCCAAATTGTGCGAAGCCACTTCTACGGTACGAGATCCCAACCCCCTCTGAAGCTTAGAGTGAAACTGAAGAATACCGTGATTCCCAGGTCGTCCCACTCGCCACACCCGCCGTATTCGTTGTCCAAGCCATCCGTTTCAGTTTTAAGATTGTGGTCGAAGCCAATTCAAAGTTAGAAAAAGTCTGTGATTTTTTCCGTGATTTGGCCGGCTTCTTCAACGGCCTTGATCAGCTTTCAGATGCGCTTAAAGCCGTTCCAAACCTCAAGAATCTCATCATAGACTTTTTTCAGCGCTGCCTGGAATTATGCGCTTATGTGGTCAGCCATAAAGATGACAATTTTTGTAAGTAGTCTTGTGCTACTCACAGTGAACTTCCAGCTAACTGATGCATTGCTGCCCTGTAGATGCGAGATTCAACGAAGCCGTCACGGTTCATTTTCGTGACTCTGAGCTTCAGCAACGGTTTTCCGCTGTTCGTACAGCACGAAAAAATATTCAGTTGGCAATCCCCCAAATGACATTGAATGAGATAACGAAAGGATTCAATAAAGTTCAATATGTCATTCAAAAGGTGACCAAAGATGACTTTGACAATACCCTGGACTGGTTGTCAGATCTCGACTTTTATACAAAGCGCGATCAGTTACTGCAGCAATTGGGTTCCAAAAAGACGAGGGAATCGAGCGGGAGATGGTTACTCAACCATGATGACTTCAAAAAATGGAAGTGCTCGGGATCATCGAGACTTTGGTGTATCGGTAAACGTGAGTAGCTGCTGGCTCTATTCTCAAGCATACAGATCGCTGACAAGTCAATAGCTGGTGCTGGTAAAAGTGTTTTAGCGTAAGGAAAAGACTCGTGATTTCTTTCCCGTGCTCTAGCTGATTTTCCGCAGTGCCATCATGATCCATCATCTTGAAGAGGCAGCAAAGACAGAGACCCAGTCACCACCGCCACTAGTTGGGTACCTCTTCATGTCACACGAAAGAAGTCTAGAAACCCATCGGCTACTAGGGACTATATTACGTCAAGTAGTCGTCTCCATGGGAGGCATACCCGATTGTGTCCAAAGGGCCTTCGAAGAGTCGACCAAAGGGGGGAGGAGAGGCAACAAGAGATATACTGAGCTTCAATCGGAAGATTGCAAAAGCTTGCTATCACAATTGACAGCAGGCAGAGCTCTATTCATTGTTGTGGATGCATTGGATGAATGTTTGTCGGACATTCGCAACGACTTGATGGAGCACTTGCAAGGTATTTGTGGCGACATCCGGATCTTGGTTACTACCCGATACTTCGAACGCTACACCAAGTTGTCCACGAAATTTACAGAATTGCATCTTAAGGCGCACAAGGACGATCTGCATTCTTTTATTGATGATGCTTTTCCCGGTGGCCCCGTGGGACCCGGGTCCGATGGTATCACTATAGAGCGCGTCAAGAAAGAGGTCACAGCACGATGCAATGATGTGTAAGTTTACACCGTGCGTTCCATGTATGATATCTGAGACTAAAAATTTTGTGCTTAGATTTCTGCTTGCTGTGCTGCAGGTGAGATGGTTAAGAAGCTGCCCCGATTTCAGGATCGCGCTTCAAGAGCTACCGGCCAGTGTTTCAGAGTGGTATGCAAAAATGATAGATCGACTCAAAAAAGAGAGCGTCGGAGATCATCACGAAACTGCATTGAAGGTTCTATCCTGGATGTCATATGCACAACGACTACTCACATTGGAAGATATCCGATACGTGATTCGCCAAGCCAATATGACCGACAAGGACCTGTCGTCAATGTGCATTGGAAGTATTTACGTAGATCTAGATGGAATCGTGAGATTCATTCACTACTCTGCTCTCGACTACTTCCAAGGCACAAGAGAGAAACACTTCCCAAAATTTCAGGCGGAGATATGTGAATTCTGCATAGAAAAGTTCTTGGAATGCAGCAGGAAAACAATCGAATGGTCTCGCGCTGTTACGGAACATCCTTTCATGGATTATGCAGCCAGATTTCTGAATCTTCATCTCAAGCAACTGCGGTCCAAACCAGACGACGTGAATGGTGATCTCGAAAACAAATTAGAAAGATTCATCAGGGACGAATCAGCTCGGACCCTCTATTACCAAGGCATCCAGCAGACCAAGATATACCCAATCAAGTCAGAGATGCTGGATGACCTGCATTCAGCAGATTACAGAGACGCTGAGAGACTCGAATTCCACCCCCTTCACATGGCCGTATTTTTGGGGTACACAAAAGTCGTGAAAAAGCTGATCGATGGTTCGGCAGATGTCAATGAATCCGAAAGTTATGGTGAAACGCCATTGTCCATCGCTTTCAAAAGCGGATTTCATGACATTGCCGGTATTCTACTCGATAAGAAGGCCCATGTTGATCTACATACACGAAAAGGACACGCCATTCTTCTCTTTGCCGCTCAAAAAGGTCTTGAGAAACACGTCGAAACCATTATCAGCCCCTACAGGGTCTCCAATTTGCAGTTGTATTTGGAGAGAGTCGAAGTCGATATTTTGTCAATTTTTACATTCCCTCTTATTCTTGTTGCACACTTTTTCCCTTTGGTGATGCTCGAGATGATTCTCAGAATGCCGCCAATTAAACCCCCTTTCAACGCTGTTTGCAGAGGAAAAGACAAACCTATCTCTAAATTATGGAGCAGAATCATACCGATCGCCTACGATGAGGATGCTGATTTATTGCTGAGGTGTATTGGAGTTGGGGAGATCGAAGAAATGATGAACGAAGCTCAGACGCCGAGCGAGCATGGAAGCTCCAGAAGTAGCTCAGTTGCTGGAAATGAGTCACTCAGCATGTTTCAAAAGATGATGAAAAGGTGTCTCAGTAGCAGAATCATGGAGCAAGGCAGTGCTGGTATCAGCGACGATCCTTTTGATGCGAATGAGGATGGTGACGATGCCGATGTGATCAACGACACCGATGAGAGCAGCGATGATCCTGATGAAGCCAATGAGAATGGCGAGTGTGCCGATGAGTTCGAGGATAGCAACCGGTTCTACCGGAAACTTGAGATCTATGAGAGCACCGACGATTCCGACGATTCCGATGATACCTATGAGATTAGGAAAGATCGCAAAATTTCCAACGATGACACTGGCTCCGGAGATATTGCTGCGACACCGCTGGATTATATAAAAACTGCTTGTTTCCTTGCACTTGAACTTGGCAAAATCAGATCCGTTCAAGTTCTTTTACAAAGGGGACTAAACGCCAACACCAAGAATGCACAAGGGCAACCCTTGCTACATCGGGCAACAAAAAATAACAAAGTTCCACTTGTGCGGTTACTTTTAGAAAGTGGTGCCAAGATAGATGCTGAAGATGAATACTTTAGAACGGCTCTCACTTCAAACGCAGGAGATGAGAACTGTCTCGACGGTAAGTCTTGATATCCCTGTTCCCCTTCCTTTACTAACGATGACGGTTAAAGCTGTTGCATTTCTCCTCGAATCGAATCCTCGACCCGATCCCATGCACATGTCTCGTCGGACCTATGATTTTATTAGCGATAGCAAGGTCCACGAAATTTATCGAGCTGCCGTACTCGGAAACAAAGACAAGGTTGAATTTTTCCTTAAACAACGAGTGCCTGCTTCTCTCACGAATACCTTCGGTTGGGCACCTCTCCATGGTGCAGCTGCGAACGGTCACATTGAGATTGTGAAGCTGCTCCTTGATCACGGGGCAGACCCATCGCCTATTTCCGACACCAACTTGACGCCTCTAGATTTCCTCAACAATGATCGCAGACATTATGACTGGCCTATGTTGACGAAGGATACAGAGCACTATACCAGCAACACCTCATTCGAAGACGCACCGTATGGTCCGGACGAGATAAGGCGGTGCAACGAAATTAAGGAAATATTGGCTCAGAATAAGCCCTCGGCAGGACAGACTGGGGATGAAGTATATAGCCAGGGAAAGAAGTTTAAGCGCTACGAGGAGTTCCTACAGCTCACGGAAGAAACCTGACATCTGGAATTTGTGGTTCTTCTGAACAGCTTGATTTTCGACCTTCGATTGTTCAATATCCACATGTGGAATTTGCTTTTTGCTTCAACAGGGAACAAGTTTAATTGAAATATGAACGCTGCCATTCGACACCTCGCTTACGAGTTTCATGACTCGAGTTCAATCCCAACAGTATTCCATGAAGCTAATCGACACTATCATTAAGCAATTGGCGGTGCCGAAAGGAAGCTTTCCGCATGCGATTCGCTGTTTCAATTCGGGCGACTACATCCCCACCGACACAATCCCAGATCAGACTAATAAAACTAATCGTCATCTCTGCTTTTTAAAATACAGTTAGATATTATTAGTTTTGGTGTTGTTTTAGCAGTAGACCACATAAATCTTGAACATCAGGCGACCCGATTTAGTGAGATAGAGGGAGGAGTATACATCCACAGCGGAGAACGAGTGCGCAAAATTCGAGAAAATATAGCAAACAAAAGAATTTTCCACCAATCTCCATCGCTGTGGCACTTACATAGCCCATGGTGAAAGTAGCCATACAGAATCCTCCTTAGCATCGGTACACATGTCGGAATCGCCTGTATTTCAAAATGGACTGGAAGCGAGCGATACCGCATGGATAACATCACACCATTCTATGGCTCTCAGGCATGCCGAGGCCGGCGAGAACCTTGGAAAGTAAATGCTGAAATCATAGACCGGTAGCAAACGCTTGTAAAGTGGTTGTTGTGGTATCGTCGCCGTTGTCGTCATCGATAAACATGGTGTTATAGGCGTAGTCTCGGTCTCGTCTCGATATTCGCACCCTCGGTCCCTGGATGATATTGCTGGTATCCACAGCTGCACAATCGCGATCTTGATCCTTAGGCAATGACCCTGCCAAGTCGTTCTTGGCCGATGTCGTACGATCCTCTTGCTCAACGCTCTCCTGTAGGGATAGCTGTAATTGGTCCTGGAGTTGATCCTCCGGGCTCGGTTCCCGTAGTGATACTGGCGAAACAGGCGTCTGATCTATTTGATTATGGTCCTGAGCGAGACGCTCAGGATCATCCCTCACCCCTTGATCAGTGGTAGTTTCCGCAGAATTGCTTCTAACTGGATAATCCGGTGGTGGGGTATGATCAATTGGGGTTTTGTGCACAAAAACTTGATCTTGTCCCGAGTGTGGTATTGTCGTCTCCTGTGGTTCTCTAGATCCTCCAGATTCTTGATCCTGTATGACGTCTACATCATCCGCATCTCTTGCTCTATAGGACCGTCCCGGAGAGCTCCCTTCTGGGGTACTCTCGGCAATACTCGTACGAGCAGTCTGTTCGTCGAGACCCTGTCGAATACAGTCGACCTCTAGTCCTTCCTCCATGATTGTGGGAGGATAGTCCTCTGGAACTGGTAGCTTCACCCCTTCATCCGGGTCATGGTTCTCTGCCGAAAAAACGTCGGTTTTCATCAAAAACTGCGTCTCGGACCATCCTGACCTGACCACGGTGCGGTATCCAGATTTGCCAGATATTCGAGGCCACGTAGCCAACGAGATATCCTATCTCAGCTCGTGACTTCATTTTGTCAAGTTTCGGGATATTGGGGATCCTGCAGTATGCAAGTGATCCATACAATTTGATATTCGCAAGCGACGTCTTTGTGGGAGTATTGACAGGAGTACCCTCGGTACCCTGGTTGAACCCACTAAAGCGCCGTGCTTCATCCCATGGAACTATCCAAGTCCCATCTTCCAATCTCGTAGGCGTACGGTTCAGCAGGTATACTGCCGCTTTTACCGCTTCTGGCCATAGTTTATCGGGTAGTTTTCCTTCCTTTAGAAGCGCTCTCGCTCTAAGGATAATCACACCTCCAGCACGCTCACCCGGACCGTTCATCTCAGGCGTATACGGGTCTGTAAACGTGTGAACACACCCCAGCTGCTTAATTAGCAGTAGAATACTCTCATCAACTGATCTCTCGTTATCAGAGTGGAACACCTTAATCGGCAAATTTAGCCAGCGAATAGCGAAAGCGATAAAGCTTCTGATCGCTTGCTGGCACCCGTTTTTGTTCACATGGGTCATTAACCAGTGGAACCGGATACCCCCAACGTAGAAATGGGTTATCCAGCAGTGCTGATTATATCCCATAATGACCTGAATTAGGTCAAAGTAGACCCTCCCGCACCGTCCGTAGTGCTTGCCTATCGGTCTCCGCGAGACCTGTCGTGGAGCGTTGACCAAGCTGCAGACCGTACAAATTTCATCATCCGGTCGCTCTTCCCCATCCTCCGTGCTTCGTACAACCTCAACTCCACTGACCAGTTTCGGTAGTTGCTAAATTGCTGCCTTCGAGACATGGCCAAGTCGTTTATGCCACGTATTAGTATTGGCAGACGATTTCAACGGTTTCTCTGATCGTCGGGTAGCAAGTGCAGTTTTATGCTGGGTGTTGTTTTGGGTCTTGATCGTAGTCGTACGACCCTCTGTTTTCGGCCGAAAGACTGTACGTTCATCTCGCGTCTGTGAGAACAGATAAATATCATGTTCTCGGTAGGTCTCAAGAATAGGTTGATCTCCAATCATAATCCTTCCTTGCTTCATATCCCACCATCCTCCATGGTCCTCTATCCTGCCTAAGGAAACCAAATTGCAGTGAAAATCTGGAGAATAACGGCAGTTATACAGGTTAACCACACGCGGTCTGCCAGTTGTAGGATCCCTTCCGGTGAAGGTTGCTGTACCGACTCCAGCAATTGCGGTCCGATTGTCACCCGTACGGAGATACGAGGGGTCTTCCTTATACTCGGTAAATTTGGTCCGGTCGTTGCATACGTGTACGCTTGCTCCGGTATCCAATACCCATTGGTCTCGGTACTTGGTATCAACTTCAGTTGATAGGGCGACTGTGGCAAAGCCAACGTGGGCTAAATTTGCTGATCCAGACGGTTTTCCTGCCAAGTCAGGTGAGTTCTTGATCTGGTTTTCGGCCCAGACCTTCCACTCTGGTTCTTTTTTGAATGACTTCTTCAGCGCTTCGGAGGCCTTTCGTAGGCCCATCCACCCATCCGGTCGTTGGTCTTCATTCAACACCCAGCACCGGGTGACCGGGTGTTTCATGCCACAAGGGCAGTAGCTCCGGTCCTGAAATGGTCCAGTTTTCCCGTCTTTTCTGTCGGTTCTAGAGGTTTCAGCCTCTGCTTTACCCTGCCAGGTCGATGTGGCAAATGCTGCTTTGGATATAGAATTGGTATTCTTCTTGGTAGTCTCGGAATACGACATAGTATAGGAGGTACGGAAGGACTCAATCAGATCGTTTATCTCGATTGTATTACTTCTTAGTACGATATCCTGGAACCGAGCTTCCCACCAGACCGGTAGGATGTCCTTTACAGCATGTAAAAACAGCTGCGGATGCTGCGCAGTGTCACTCTCCACTTTTAGGTTGACCGCTTCATCACGTATCAGCTCCCACTCTTCTAGCCAGGATAGTACGTTTTGACCCTTCTTTGGTGGTCGTACGCACCCTTCTGCCCAGCGTAGCAGGACTTCATTCTGGTGAGACTTTGTGTGTGAGAAGCGCTTCTTGAGAAAGCTAATCTTCTCGTACGGAGTCTCAAGATCATCCATGAGACGGTGTAGCTTAGTATCTGTTGACGCAGTGATCACGAACTCAACTAATTGTAGGCCGTTTTCCACCTTCTCATACCTTTTGAGCTCCTCTTTGTAATCGTCATGGTCGTAGCTATACTCCATCTGACGATCCTTAAACTCTTCCCTTAGGGTCTTGGCTACCTCTGTAGTTGCCCCTCGTGGGATATGTAACCGCGGTCGTGCGGGGGCCTGCGGCTCCTCCAGCACTTCCGGGGCTGGTTTCTCAGGATTGCAATAATCCCATACTTTCCTAGTCTTGGCAAACTGCTTCATCGCAGAGTACCAAGCTGGCCAATGAGAGCTGTTTTTCAGCTTCTCACCCTTCCATTGTGAGACAGATACCGTGGGGTCCATCCTTAGTTGGTTTCAAATGGCTTTCAATCCTTTCTCAATTGTCGTGTTCTTCGGAGGGGTTGACGCGGCAACTTTGTTGTCGTCGTCAGTGATCTCAGGGGTAAACAATCCTGTCGTCGCAAGTCGAGGAGAGCTTCTAGAACGTATATTCAATCAAAATATCACGGTAGGAGAGATAATCCGGGCTCATAACTCTCTGAACACGTAATCAGGGTCGAACAGCATGTACCAATGGTATGGGTCACGTCTGTGTACTTGTCTCGTATTCTCTAGTCTCCACCACAGCAATTTAACATGTGGTACGCTGACTAATAAAGTTGATTACATGATCCATTGTTCCGACACTTGCTTTCCGTCACGTGCTTTTGTGCCTTATAACTTGAACTAGAATTTCATCTGTATCAGAGTCCGTCCACCACAGACACATCCAGCCTCCCGTTCCTTCGCGCTTGCACGTCTAGAGCATCGTTACAGTGAAATTTTAGATGAAAAATGGAGTATGATGGAGGCCCAAGTGCAGGACCTGTCAACATCACACCATCACCGACGAATGGCGACTTCAATCTAACGCACGATCTAGTTTCGCCCCCAATATTCAAAAATCCACCCATAGTTGGTGGTTTATCTCGCAATGAAAAAGCCCACTCTAGAAAGACAGGCAAGGCTACGACGAAGCGTTTGCTTCACATGCCAATAATTCATTCACTTCATAACCTGCAATGGACGTTTGGCCTCTATGATTAATATGTGTATTGCTCTCCGCATCTAGGAACCTGCAAGTATGGCGCTCTGAACTTTTCAGCGCACAAGGTGCAGAAGCAACACTAGTAAGCGCCACCTTACGATTTTCTATATTGTGTAGCTCAGGCGAGTTACGTGTCTCGGTGCCAAGCTCTGATAGGCTCCACTTGTAATGCTGCGATCCTATGGTGAACACGATCTATCGATCAATCGACTCTGATTTGACCCATTCCCTTCCAATCAGGAGTTCTCATCGATGGGGCTTCGGAAGTGGCCGATATCCAACGGCCCGCAGGCAGCCGAGATGGTGGTGGCTCTTTGTGCGCGCAGAAAAAAGGACGTTTTTGATGTTTACTCTACATACGCAACTTAGATTCTTGGTGCATTTTTCCCAGTGTGTATATACTGAGTTTGCTTTTCTGTCTTTTTTTCTCCTTTTTTTTTGAAGGCTTTTCGGCAACTATCAATATGGGCATTTTTTATGGCTTAGGTAAAGTATTGCCGAATGTGGGCCGTGCTTCGTCTGGCTCAGGCGGTGGAGAAAGCGGTATAATGTCTAACGTTTGCTCGGGGCGCCTTGGCGGACAAACGGACCTCCTATGATTCCAATACACAGCCTCTTGCAGTATTACACAGTACCTCAAGAGTATTTTTCATCCTCGGCCATTTATCGCTCGACCTTGGCAGAGCAAGATTGTTAGATTTGGAGATTGATACAAGGGTGGAATGTATAGATTATTATCTCATCATTGTCCACGTTGCGTATTAATCTCGTTTTGCACTAATTAGCGTCAAGCGGACATTTCTAACCCTAAAGTACGAAGCGAAAGTCCGCAGTTGCATAATCACTCGGCCCTCGCCCTGACAAGCCACCGAGCTCGGGACCCCCTTGAAAAACGTGTAAAAAGCCATGGCTATCATCTCTCAATGACTTTTCTTGAAGTTATTTTTCTCTTCCTTCTCTTACAACCCCCTTGTCTATCCTTTTCGTGTCTATCCGTTGCTCTTATAGATCGATCTCAACAAGGTCTTCTACGCGATATCAATGCATCAAACAAATTCGACTAGCGAGTCGACCCTAAATGAGGCCCGCAGAAGCCCAGGTATCGATAAGGATGATCACACTTCACCACCGGCGGTAGAGGTTGCCATGAATGAACCTCCCGATGGGGGTCGTGATGCATGGTTGGTTACCTTTGGTAGCTGGTGGGCCCTCTTTATAGCTTTCGGCTGGACAAACTCTCTCGGAGTATTTCAGAATTATTACGAAAAAGAGTTACTGCATGCTTACTCTGCATCTACAATTGCTTGGATCGCATCCACCCAAATCTTCATGATGTACGGTGGCGGAATTGTCTTGGGTAAGGTGTTTGATCATTATGGGCCCCGGTGGCTGCTGCTTGTCGGCGGCTTTGCCCACGTGTTTGGCTTGATGATGACCTCCATCTCTAAGGAGTATTATCAAATATTCTTGTCTCAAGCTGTCTGCAGTGCTTTAGGTGCTAGCGCCATCTACTATGCCTCCCTGGGCTCACTTGCTAGCTGGTTTCGGAGGAAAAGCGCGACTGCTTTTGGATTGGCTGCCTCTGGTGCTTCCATTGGTGGTGTCATCTTCCCTGTAATGGTTGACTGTCTCATCAGCCGTATTGGCTTCGGCTGGACTATGCGCGCGGTTGCCTTCCTTATTCTGGGGGGTCTTATCATAGTCAATCTGACCGTGAAGTCGCGGCTGATTCACAAACAAAAGCCAGTTTATATTCGACAATATCTTAAGCCGTTCACGGAGATTCCGTTTCTGCTTCTGGTTATCTCGCTATCGCTCTTTTCGTTTGGATTATTCCTACCCTTCAACTTTATTACCGCTCAAGCGCAAACCCTTGGCATGTCTTCTAAATTGGCGAACTATCTTGTGGCGATTCTTAACGCAACCAGGTAAGGAACTTGACATAACCTCTCAAACTCAGAAGACTGTGCTAATAATTTTAGTGTCTTTGGCCGTATTATTCCGGGTCTGATTGCCGATCGGGTCGGTCGGTTCAATGTCATGTGTGTGGCAACCCTAACTTCGGGTATCCTCACCTTCGCACTATGGCTCACCGGCCGCTCAAACGTAGCCGTTATCCTATATGCTGCATTCTTCGGTTTTTTTTCCGGTGCTTATGTCTCCTTGACGCCAGCTCTGATTGCCCAATTGTCTCCAATCCAGGAGATTGGCATTCGCACGGGAGCTTTATACTTTTTTGTGTCGATCGCTGTGCTTACAGGCAGTCCAATTGCTGGCGCACTGGTTTCTGTGGACAAGGGTAATTATGGTTATTTGGAGATTTTTGCGGGGGCCACTATGTGTGCCGGTGCCGTTTTGGTCGTCCTGACTCGTGTCGTGAAGGGAGGATTCAAGTGGACTGTTTTGTAGGATGAATTGTTGTTGATGTATTAGCGTATAGACCAGGTAGGTTCTTATCAGTTCTCGCAGTCATCAAAAACTGTTACAAAAGCACTTCGCAAAGAAATTCATGCGTCTTAGACTCTCGTGAAAAAAGGAAGAGCCGTGAAAGTTTGGAAGATTTCCGGGTGATCTTAAGGAGGAAACTCCATGCATCTAGACTATGGGACATACAAGAAATTATCCCGGTTCGATTAGCGTATTGGAGTACAACTAATACCAAAGATTTAGAACCTGCATGATAAGCTCCATAGGGATAATTAGTAACCTGACAATCGAACTTATATTGTACTCCGCTTCCGATAGCGCCCTCTTTGTGAACACCGATCAAAGATATTGCTGCTTCAATGGGTTATATGAGTCCCGAAATCAGGATCTCCACAGAGTTGTTGACCGCTACTATGACAGAGCGGACTTTGACGCGCAGATTCGGCGCAAACGGCTCCCCAAAAAGCGAACAGAGCAGAGTTATTTTGAAACACCTTATGCATCAGCGAAATATATAAATTGTCTCCAGCAACTTGAAGGTTCGCTACAAGAATGCTCACCATCGATATACACTCACGTCATACTAATCATTCCAACTTTCACCATCACCATGCTTCCCCTCAGTCCAGATGGTGCATTTCATTTCGAGATGCTCCGTACCCTAGCCCTTGCACGCTACAAAGGCGCAGACATTGGCGAAGTCCTGGAAGCAGCCGAGCACATCGAACCAGGAAACATGGAAAGCTTCCATGACGTCTTCGCCAACCTAGCTTCACGCGTCTTAGCCCAAGCCGAGGAAATAAATGCCAAATCTCACCCTATTTCCGCACGAGATGCATACTTTCGAGCTTCATCGTATTTCCGCGCAGCCGACTTCTTTATTCATCGCAACCCAAATGACCCCCGAATAAATAGTCTCTGGACCCAACAGACACTCGCATTCGACAGGGCTATCGCGCTCTTACCCGCTCCTGGGGAGCGGGTTATCCTCCCAGCTGACGGGTTCAACGTCCACGGCATTTTCTTCCGCGTCGGGGACAATTGCTCCATGCCCAGACCGACTCTAATTCTTGGGAATGGGTATGATGGCGCGCAAGAGGAGATGCTTCATGTTTCTGGCTTTGCCGCCCTGGAGAGAGGCTACAACGTCATTCTCTATGAAGGGCCTGGGCAGCCAACTATCCGCCGAGGACAGAACCGAGGGTTCATCTATGATTGGGAGAAGGCCGTCACACCTATCGTCGATTACCTGCTCCAGCAGCCTGAAGTTGACAATGCACGTATAGGCTTGCTAGGATACTCGCTTGGCGGATATCTGTCTGTCCGAGCAGCGGCATTTGAGCATCGTCTTGCGGCTGTCATAGCTATCGATGGGCTTTGGGACGTGTATAAGTCCTTTACGGATCATCTCCTACCCGCTGGGTGGATAGCATCCTTTGAAGCTGGCGATACGATGGGACTAAATGCTCAGATCGATGAATTCTGCTCTCGGGCCGATGCCTCTACTACACTTCGTTGGATCATTGATCAAGGATTGTGGTGTTTCAATGTGAAAGATGTGAAAGGACTACTTGATGAGATTAAGAAAATGGCACTTAAGGGAGTCGAGGGCCAGATTCAATGTCCGGTTTATGTTGGTGATGCGGCTGATGATCACTTCTTCCGGGGACAGCCGGGTTGGGTGAAAGAGAATATTGGGGCGAAGGCGACTCTTCATACGCTTACTGCTGCGGACGGGGCAGGCCATCATTGCCATGTGGGGGCTGCTGTGGTTATGAATCAACGACTGCTAGATTGGTTTCACGATGTGGTTTCAGAGTAGTTCAGTATTGCCTAATGTCTTGCTTGAATCATTCTGGTAGTTGAAGGAGGCACTGATATGGTACCTTCGCGAACGTGTGCTTATCTGCTTGAATTTTTTAATCTTTTTTTTTTGAAGATTTGTGGATGTTATTTTCAATGCAAACGCGATGTCAGCCCTGACAATCTTGACGTCGGGTTTCCATGCCCTTACATTCGGCTCACTTGCATCTCCTCTAGTTTTAGGCTTACCTCCTAGCATCTGCGATAGACTAACGAGGCTCGGTCCCGCGATTTAAGTCAGTGCGCGATATTATTTATTCCACTATGTACAGTACATCGAGGTAAGGAATGTGAGACTGTTTCGCGCTCGGCACTATATTCACATAAGTTACTATCGGCCTTACTAATTTGGTGAAGGTGTCTATTTAGTAGACCTCGTAACGGCCCGCACGCCGCCCTCTGAGGGCCGCCTGCGGACCCGCCCGCGGGCGGGCAGAGGGCCGGTCTTGCCTGCCCGCGTGTCGGGCTGGTCTTTTGCTAGCCCTCACGAGGGTCGCCCGCGGGCTTTTCGAGGGCCGACAAACATCACAAACAGTACAAATACTTTTGAAGACCCATGTTTGCATAAATCATGCGTTTTTCAGCTGTATCTTTAGGTATTTACTTTACATTGCTCTTACTGATTTGACTAGGGTAGTAGTATTTGGATTGATAAAAAAGAATGATTGAAATAAGTGATTTATAAGTAATATTTGCAGCTACTATATACAGGACTAGCTTGAAGTTTTACGTCGCTTCCAACCCTCAGTTTCATACCCATCAAGAAGTGTTGAGCGCTGCCGAACCCTCCCTGAATAACGCTGACTAGGTAAGCTAGGCTCACCGTTGGCTTCATCCTCGATCAGAGCCCGCTGGGTCTGTAAGGGCTGGCACCATCACCATCACCATCACCATCGCTACTGCTGTGATGACCACTGTTATCATCTTCCTCGTTATCACTGATAGGCTCGAACTGCTGGATAGTTGTATCCTTCTCCTCCTGGCTAGCCTATTTCTCTTCAGATGAAAGATATTCATTGATAAACGCTCGGTGGCTATCTTTGATCTCAAATTATGATATATATATGAATATCATGAGATCCTGAATGGTTAATGGCTTTAGAGAGCTATATTGATAGTGATAGATACCCGCGCGGAGTTAAAAAGCCGCTTAACGCCTATACCTGTGGCTGCCGCCGGGGTGATACCATATTTGAGTATAGTATTTTGCACACGGTCAAACCACTCCTGTATAACCTATGAATCCTCCATTTTCGCACGTTCGTAGTTATATCGCCTTGAATATCGAGCTTCAAGGGTAGGGTGTCGTTTAACGAAGTTTTTTGACCAATTTTGGCCGACCTCTTGAATCGGGGTCTCTCCACGCTCTGCCAGCAGTAAATTAGCCATATCGGCCACCATACTGGGTCGTGGAGCAGATCCACGATCGTTCATGGATATTATCCATTCATAAAGCGATATATCTTCGTTTTTAGTCAATTTGTGTGAATTTGCGCGTGAATTCGCGCGAGAGATAACCCCCGCAAGACGACTTGAAAGTGTAGAATAGGGTATATAGTATATACGTGCAGCTTCGCGCATAGAGGGTAAATCCTTGTTTTTGATAACTTGGATAGCTATTAGAATTCTACCCTCCTGCTCTGTTGAATTTCGTGCTTTTTGGGCACGTTTTTTGGTGGCATGGTGGGTGGTTAAAGGTGGTGGGGTGGTATGGAAGACGCGTTTTTGATGGGGTGATCAGCCCGCTTGTGCGGTCAGCTCGCTTGTGAAAAACGTTATCAATCTTGTTTCAAGTTAACTTATCAAAAGTTATTAATCACGATACAAAGCGCGATTATGTTGGCTAAAGGTAATCACGCTCAAAAAGAAAAAAAAGCGAAAAAAGGCTCGAACAAGATATAGGATTACCTATTATAGTGGGGATCCCCTGTTACTTGATATTACAGTACAGACCGGGTGAGGTTTTTCCGGCATATATCATAACGCATATTTCACAGTATATTGTTATATAGGACCGGATATATCTAGGACCTCGAAGGTAGGATTACATAACACGCTTCTACACCTCTCTCATCTACTCATAAGGGCAATTACCTAAGGATCTCTCGTATAAACCTACGGTGGCTTATTGTTAGTGATTGTGCAGCTAAATCGACCCGCACACCTCCGATTATCCTACCAACGAGCGTTCCCTTCTTCACTAGTTAAGCGAGTCGGCCATGTAAGCCAGCCGGTCACCCCAAAACACATAGTAATTGCGATAAATTACAATTCATATCTTCAAAACCATAGCTTCACCTACATAACTTCTTATAGGGAGATACCCATCTTACTATCTAAAATGATATTCTGGGATTTTGATTCTATCTGGTATGTGGTTGAGCAAGATTGATATTTGGTGGGTAGATGGCCAAATCATGATATATTTTATGGCAATGTTGCAAAAATCCTGCTTAAAGCCACACCAAATTTCAAGTTAAATCATCATGGCTCTAGATATATGAGTTCCGAGGAATTGATATTGTTGTCATGCGTTATTGTGGCATAGAACATCTTTATTACTGTATTTTGAGGTGGCTGGCTGGCTTACGTGGCCGACTCGCTTACCGGTGTGTGTGGCGGTGGAGGATGGGTGCCTGACAATTGAGGTGGAAATTGCCGGAGGGGTGGCTTACGTTATTATCTGATTTGAATTGACCGTGTTCTGATCGTTCTACCAATCAGTCTCTTTCCATTGCGGTGCGCGTGTGCGTTGAATTTCTGAGCAGAGATTGCATCAACCCAAATTGAATTTGCAATTACCAATTCAACCGTCAGCCAATTTCACGTGTTCCGTTGTTCCCGTTTCCAAGTGCTTCACCGTGACCTTCGCTAACCCAGGCAGTATTTAAGTTAGCTAAGTTGATTTAATTATCCCATGCTTTTCTCATATACCTAGCCGTTCCGAATGTAGTCTAGTGGTGGTAAAAATCTCATGACAATGCTGATTAAGCCATCTTCCAACAAAGGTTAGTCAACTCATGCAGTCGTACGCTGAGCTGGAACCCGGTCGTGGCCACATGAGTTGTTCTTATCAATGCCACGTTTTACTTCCAGGCCCTGAGTATGGATCTTGCCAGTCTATCTTGCCAGCGCTGTCGGAATCACAAGGTAAGTTGCATGCCTCGCTCACCAGATTCGTCGCTAAGATTGTCAGCGCAAATGCTCCCGCGAATTGCCAATTTGCGATCGATGTCGCTGCTTAAACGCCGAGTGTGCTTACCCTCGACGAAAAAACAGAGAAACACGTATCAAGGCCACACCCAGGGACGATCATAGCACTGCACTCATAAATGCATATCACTCCAGGCCAATAGAAGGCCGATCGAGTCTTCTCACATCACTTGCGATGGAGACTCAGCTCGCCTCACAAACGACTGAGCTCACTTTGCTGGACGTGTACTTCTCACAGTTCATTCCCTCCAGTATCATTCACCAACAAGGGCGCACCAGACGCCTCTATTTGCACGGCCAGTTATGCACCGGTGTTTTGCATGCCATGTTCGCCTTGGCTTCCTTATTCCTGGGCCGCGCACAGACGCCTAGTAAGTGGCGTCGACTCGATGACATGGCAAGCATCTCGCATATCGCTCGTCATCACGGCCAAGACTGGGCGAATAATGCCAGTCACATCGTGTCCCTCCAATTGCATGCGCCTTCTGTCGATACTGTTCGAACCCTCTCCAATCTCACTACTTATTGGTTTGGCGTTGGCCAGAGGGAGAGGTCTCAGGCGACTGCAAGTAAGTCCATCACGGTTTCGGGCAATTTCCATATGACCGTTTAGCTCAAAAACAGATAGATATGGTCATACAGGCCACACGAGACCTACAAATGCAAAGTCTACACCTGCCAAAACCTCAGTCCCGGGACCTGCGATGGTCCTGCCTCTGGGCCGACACGCTCTGTCGATGTTTTGTGCTTGATGATAGCTTCGCCACAACGAACCAGGAGATCGATATATCCGATATTACGCAATCTTCCGAGGGCCTTGTCTCTAGGGGTATTGGTAGCATAGACAGTATAACACAGCCAACACCTGGGCAAGAAGCCCTACTCAAGGCCTTAGGTTTCTGGTACGTTGTTTCAGGTGCTATATTAAACTTTCAAATCATACTCAACGACATCATTAGGCGCGAGGCTAGATCGTTTATTTATAGTCTCAGGTTTATTTACAGTCTTGCACCCGAAGCGGATCCGGCAGTGAGATGGGGAGCTCTCTTTACGCTGGACAGTAAAGTCACTTCCTGTTATTCATCCTTCCCACCCTCGCTTCACTATTTACATGGTGGTTGCCTCCAAGACTCAGGCGAGGCCCCAGAATTGCTACTATCGCTTCAAGCAGTCTACCACCAATGTCGGGCCCTACTTCATCTTGCCATGTTTATGTTCCTACGACGAAAGGTTTCAGCCTCCCCTGACTATGTTCACTTGTGCGCTCAGATCTCGGTGTCTCACTTGAATCATTTTGCCGATGTCGCGACTAGCTTTATGTCTCTCGCTCCATCCAGCGCCTCAGCCAATCCACCATTCATTGCATACTGTGCTTTTCTCGCGGTTTCGATCCATCTGGCTTGTTTGAACTTATCCCAGAGGCCCACCGGAATTTTTCCCGAGGCTAGTCCATCCGTGTTGGCTTTGTTGAGGGAACGAGTCTTGTCCAGCCTCCTTTTACTGCAACACCTCCAATGTTACTGGGCCTCATGTAAGGAACTGGTATGTCGGTAACTCATTTAACCCCTTACTGTATGATATCTCCCATGAGATCATATAGCTCACCAGATTGTCTCTCCAGCTTAACCGTCTCCAACATCTATGCCTCTCTGTCGGAATTTCAACAGCCGATGTGGAAATGCATGGTGTTATTTTGAAAGAACCACCCACCTCATTTCCGTCGACCACAATTCATGATGACACTCCATCGGCCCCACTATTACTAGATCGAAAGGAACTCGACGCTATCATGAGTCGACACCTTACGCAGATTCTACAGATGATAGATCTCAGTCATCCGGCCTATATCTCCTTTCAAGACTTGCAATCGCCGCCTATTATCGCTTGCGATCCTTCGAGCCCTGGTCACTCTGCGAACATTCCCCAGCAACCCTGCTATGAAATTCAGCCTAAACCGACACGGACATCTCCATTTGCCAGGCTGCAACCAATGCCCCACGAAAATATAGCCACAGCTTCTAAACATACCCATCGCCGTAAGCCACGAACATGGATTCCAGCTCGCCCAGTGGCCCCAAGCCTAGGAATCTTAGAAGGCTAGCTGGAAGGTCGGTTAGGATATGGCAAAACATGATATAGTTTAACAGACATTACAGCACCTCAATTTCCTAGTTATTAAACTTTAGCATAATTTAGTTATCTAGGGTTTAATAGAGGGTTAGATTAAGGGAACTACCATTTTATAGGCCTAACACATACCACTCGGCCGCAGCATCACATACGTGAGCATCCGCCATCATATCTTAGCCTTAATTTTGTGTTAATATAGATTGCGTATATCCTCCTGGTTCATTGAAGAGCATGTAGAATAGACATTTTGACCAATCTGCATTGTGCGAAAACATAAACACGAAGTAAATGTCGTTATATGGCCAAGAAGTTCTTCAACCCAACGCATCAGGTACAATATCTAGAATTCCATCAGTACATCAGCAATTGTCGAATGAAAATGACCAGTGAAAGGCAGTGCCTCTTTTCCAGGGTGCTAGCCTCGATCCCAGAGGAAGTCATGAATGGCCTCCGGAGCACAGGGCCAGATCCTGGGACCAGATCTGCTTTTTTTTTATGGAAGATTACCTTCCAGCACCAATACATTCTATGTTCTTGGCCACCAAATTTTATGGTCATGGTCATTTTTGCAGAGTACCACTGGAATTCCATGTATACTTCATCGAACGAATGCAGAACACAGCGTTCATTCTGTGCATCCCGACTCGACATATCTGTTCAAGAATGCAGCCGACTATGTTTGAATATATGGACTGCTTTTCAACGATCTGGTGGATGTCCTTGCAAGCATATATAAACCACCATCCAGATCTTGATACCACCTTTATCAATCTAACAATACCTGATCCCTCATATCTTGTCCAATACATCCATCTTCACCACCACCATGTCACCCGCTTTATCCTACCCTAGCCCTCCACTGGAGCAACAATTCTCCCAGCCTGATGCGCTCCAGAAGTACCTCTGCACGTGCACCACGGATATCAACAAGATACATGGAAGACACACGCCCTTGATACTGGCCGTGCAAGCCGGAGATCACGCGGCTATCGATCTACTATTAAAGTATGATGATCTTCGTGCTTCTCGATGCAATGCCTACGGTCAGACTGCGCTGTCGATGGCCATCACGCAGGGCAGCGTGTCAATCGTACGACAGCTGCTCCGCCGCAAAGATATCGAGTTCTACAGCCCCGATCAAAAAGTCCAGCAGCCACTTCTAGTGGCTTTAGAATATCAACAGTATGAGATTTTGGAAATGCTCTTGCGGGATCCTCGGGCCAAGATCAATCAGAAGAATCATCGCGGCCAAACCATCCTGCACCTGGCTGTGATCTACGGAGACCTTAGCGCTGCTGCAACCCTTGCGAGAGAGGAGATGATTGATGTCGATTGTCCCGATCATCGGGGGGAGACGCCCCTCATGTTGGCTGCGAAGCTCCATGCCTGCGATCAGCCTAACAACGTCAAGATCCACGAGTGTCTGCTCTCGAGGTCCAAAGTTAGGGTCGATCAAGATCGAGGGTCCATCTATTTTTCACATGCCGTGTAGACTTTCAATACCGAGCTGATCGAGGACCTCGGCTTTGTTTGAATAAACGTTGTCAGGTATAGAAGGAATCACTCCGTTGGCTCGAGTGAGATAGCAATTTGCGACCGTCAGAACTCGGTTCCCTCTAACGTGCGTGCCACGATGCATGTCACATCCCTGCTCCGAGCATGTGCGAAGGGCAATGATGAGTTAAAGGTTGAGGCCAGGCAGGCCATGACACATGAGCCACCGAAAGATTGTTCTGTTCTTGATATGTAACTTATTCCCAACTATCAGGTGTCTAATCTAAGCGCATGCATTTTATGGGCAGCATGCGTACACGAGCTCGCTGTTATGATCAAATTTAGAGAGAGACAAGGTTCTAGAGCTAGCGTGTAAGTCCCGTCAAGGATGTAGTTCCATGGCTCGTGGTCCAGGATGTAACATCAATAGTGGGTCTTGCGCCACATGGAAATTCTAGAAAGTGATCGATGCCTTTCCAGAGGACAGGCTGGCGTTTGGTTGGTCAGGCGCGGTGGGGTTGTGAGTCATATGGACTGCAGATGCCCCACCAATCAAGGTTGTTGGAAACAGGAGCGCAGCGGGTCCGTGGCCGGTAAGTTGAGCCCGCAGATCAGCCAAAGTCTTGCCCGGGTACTTACCAGGGTACTTGCAAAGGTACTCGTGAAGTCTCAGGTTTTGTCCTGCCACGCGCGTCGATTACAGAGATGAGCAAGAAGATACTTTGTAGTATTCGTAGCAATTGATGAACCTTCTCATCAAGAATTTACCAATGGCTAAAGTATCGTCAGGAATAGGGTGCATAAGATGACAGGTGGAAAGTGGGACGGCGAGATCGAAATGATCGGCCGGCACCTTAAACCTTAAATAGCACGTGGGTTGGTCTCGAGGTCCAGTCCTTCTTGCATCTTGCTGAACACCACTGTTTGGTTTCTCAGAGTCTGGCGAAAACAAGGACAACGTACGCTGCAGAAGTTCTTGATCGATGCGCGACAATAATGACAATAGTACCTATGATCGTACTTGCATGGCCATTGCGTCTAGCCCTCTTTGAATGCGGTATTGTATTACCTCTGTCGCAACTTGCAATGCAACGCAATTTGATTGCCACAGCGATCGTTTCCATGGAATCCATTTCATCAATTCTGGTACTCAGTCGCCGACGTAACCCACCGCAGGAAATGGTCAGTCTAGATGATTGATTTGATGGAACCAAGGGCTGGTCCCCCTGGCAACATGAGACCAACCACGGATCCATGGGAGGTGTGTCTTCTGGCCAAAGATTTCCAAGTAACTTTCCAATGCCCTCGCAAATCAGTGGCCGTTCCTATGGATTTGCGCAGGGGGTTTCTGTGAAGAGACGTAGCCGACTTGACATAAAAGGCGCCAGATTTCCAGCCCAGAAAGAATCAGGACTTCCCTCCTCACACTCCCGTGTGTCATGGTTTCCATCTCTTGTCTGCAGGCTTGGGGGTCTCCGTGGCCACGGGTCCGCAGTACAAGCTCTGCGTCACCAAACATGCTTCGCAGGACGGGCTCTGCGATACCAACTGTTCCTCGCAGGATGGGCTCTGCGTTAGCAACTGTTCCCCGCAGGATAGGCTCTGCGATACCAACTGTTCCCCGCAGGATGGGCTCTGCGTTAGCAACTGTTCCCCGCAGGATAGGCTCTGCGATACCAACTGTTCCTCGCAGGATAGGCTCTGCGTGATCAACTGTTCCTCGCAGGATGGGCTCTGCGTTAGCAACTGTTCCCCGCAGGATAGGCTCTGCGATACCAACTGTTCCTCGCAGGATAGGCTCTGTGATACCAACTGTTCCTCGCAGGATAGGCTCTGCGATACCAACTGTTCCTCGTAGGATGGGCTCTGCGTTAGCAACTGTTCCCCGCAGGATAGGCTCTGCGTGATCAACTGTTCCCCGCAGGGGGGCGCTGCGTTACCAAGTGAACTCCGCAGGGGGACGCTGTGATGACAATCGAGACCCGCAGGAGACCGCTGCGTTAACAAGTTCTCCGCAGGGGACAGCTGCGAAACCAAGGGACTCCGCAGTACGATGCTCTGCGAAACCAAGTGCTCCGCAGGGGACAGCTGCACACCAAGGGACTCCGCAGTACGATGCTCTGCGAAATCAAGTGCTCCGCAGGGGACAGCTGCGAGACCAAGGGACTCCGCAGTACGATGCTCTGCGAAATCAAGTGCTCCGCAGGGGACAGCTGCGACACCAAGGGACTCCGCAGTACGATGCTCTGCGAAATCAAGTGCTCCGCAGGGGACAGCTGCGACACCAAGGAACTCTAGCAAAGTGCAGGCACCTCTACGTGGTGCTAGGGACCAGTATTCAACTCTCGCTCTGCAGTTGAAGAAGCCAAGACCTGCGCCAACATCGATAGTTCACTTGTGTAGGCTCAGGCCATGGGCGAAGGGACTGGCAGTAGGGCCAGGAGAGCGCATTCAGAGCCTGTTTTCACTTCTAGATAACGTTGTATAGAGAACGAACAAACCCAGAATTTTGCTCTTACCGAATTCGCCGTGCATTGTAGTATCAAGTCCAGAATCCGATCTCACAAGATGTATACACACGTAGAGCATGTATACACACACATCCAGGCTGGTCGCTCGGTCAAAGATCATCACATTTGGGCAAGAACGCATTATTCACGTGTGTCTCAGAAGTCTGGAAACCCAAGCTGACTGTTGAGGTTGGCTTTGGTGGTGACGGGTAGATGCGGTGATCAATAGTCCATGGTGGCAACCAGCCTGCTTCGGTGATAGTTGACTGAGCGTCGTGAACCGTTGCATGAGCGTGCGTAAATAGTTGAGTCTGCTCTGATAAATAGTTGAGCCGGGCCTGGTAAATAGTTGAACTGTTCTCATCAACAGTTGAATGAGCGTGTGTAGACAGTTGAGTCTGCTCTGGTAAACAGTTGAGCCGGCTGTCTAAACGGTTAAACGGCTTCCTCAACAGTTGACCGGCTTTCCAAACAGTTCACCGGCTTTTTAACAGTTGAAATGCTATGCAAACAGTTGAATGAGCGTTGGTAAACAATCGAGCACGACTTCATGAACAGTGACCAGCTTAAGAACCGTGACCAGCTTGAAACGTGACCAGCTTGAAACCGTGACCAGCTTGAAACCGTGACCAGCTTGAAACCGTGACCAGCTTGAAACCGTGACCAGCTTGAAATGGTGACCAGCTTGAAATGGTGACCAGCTTGAAATGGTGACCAGCTTGAAATGGTGACCAGCTTGAAACCGTGACCAGCCTGGAAAATAGTGGCCAGCACTGAAGACAATTTGTCGATGATGACGGTGCCGATGCGTCGATGGGCAAAAAAGCTGAGTCTGGACGCGTTGTTGTCAAACGGGGTGAGGCGCTCAGGCGGTGTGTCTTCCCTCGCGCACGCTCCGTCCGACTTGGAGGAAGATCCCGCCCACAGCACTGTATTTCTCTCATAGGCCAACAGTGGTTGTCAAGTCCTCCCGGACAAGTAACAGAGTTTTGACATACGGTCGATAATTATATTCCATACGGAAAGCTACATCACGTCAAAAATCCCAGTAATCTACACCAAGAATCCACTCGGCTCAAACTTCCCGATATATATACCACATGTGTACAGTATATGACACCTCCAATGAACGAACAACATTTTTTTTAGCACTACGTATACTACTGTATGACATCTAAATCGCATGCGTGACTGGGATTTCTAGCGGTCTCACAAAAATATGACCAATAAGTCTACACCAGTCTCCTCTGAGTACGACTGCGACACATCATGAGACAATTGGGATCAAGTTGATTCAAAGTCGACCACGTATGATACAAACATGAAACTAATGCTCAGCAGCCCGACCGTTGAGTCCCATATCACTGCGCGTGAGCCCTAGATCCGATGAAATGACACCATTCACATCCTTTGTGTACGTCTACGTTGCGAGCTTCCCCTGTCCCACACACTGACAAGGCTACCATCCCGGACATCGAACAAGTCGGTCTACTGCATGTGTCTCACAAACAGCAGTCATCAGTCTACGAAAAGGATACACCATCGAGTGTTATCAGGGAATTACGCAGGCGGTTGGAAAAGCAGCATGCAGGACGAAAGCATAATGAGCCCTGCATCACCGGCCTAGACTTTGCCTAGCATGACGAGCACTCGTCTTAGAACTAGATGAAAGCACTTGAGAATGCCACGAAAGAGCCTTGCAGTCTTGCTTCGTGAGTCAGCAGCTCACGCGTGATTCGAAGCCTTGTGGGAGCAATGCATCGCAAGACATCAGCTACACAGCGACGCAAAGCTGCCCATCGGGATGAAAGACATAGCTACATGATTAGATGCTCAAGACTGCGATGTGGACGCGTGCCGTCATGATGCAAGGTAGAGACGGCGAGCTCGCATCTCACACCACATCACTGTAGCGCAACTCCCACTGTTGTACCTGAACGAGAGGCAATGAGCTAGATATCAAGCACCAATACGCAAGACCCTTTCTTTGTTCTGCCATGGCAGTTCGACGGGTAGCCTTAGCTTCCTCTTCATAGATCCCCACACCTAGCAGACTGAATTCCTGGGCAAAATCGATATCACCGAGTACGGAATTCTCCGTTATTTTCGATTCGCCAATAAAATGGGCATGGATTTTTGGAAGCTCAAATCGACTTCTCTTCAGCAGCATCGGGGCCGTAGCATGTGTCACGTGACAAAGCCTTTTTCTCTGAACACGTAATCAGGGTCGAACAGCATGTACCAATGGTATGGGTCACGTCTGTGTACTTGTCTGGTATTCTCTAGTCTCCACCACAGCAATTTAACATGTGGTACGCTGACTAATAAAGTTGATTACATGATCCATTGTTCCGACACTTTTGAGAGGACACAACAAGCATTTCGAGACCTCCAATCACTTTGAATAGCTCGAGCAGAACCGCAATTTGACCGATACTACGAGGGACGGCGTAATTTGAGTGCATCTGAGACCTCCCAGACCTCAGAACGACTGATAAGATCAGGACGGAAGGCTTCTGAAGGGCTTGGATTGAGCCAAAGTTGCCGAGCTCGCAGACTGCACTGCATAGCTGGGCAGATGTGGCTTCACCCACCGTTGGACATGTCGCTCCACCAACAAAAGATCAAGTACCAGCGGGCGCAATGTCATACGTGTTATGAAAATTCAGGGGTGAGTTATGTGGGTAGAAATTGGGGCCCTAAGGGTTGGGTTGGGTCCGACTTCGGTTTTGGGGAAGCCTACACTCTCTGGCCAGATCCGAGGAGACAATACCGTCAAGATCACAATTTATCTACCTGTATTGAAATTACAGCCCAGATCATAATATTCGTTGATCCTGCCTGCTTATTGGTCAATATTCTCTTTAGATGAAAATAACGTTTCTTACATTAAACCGCTGTAAATTTTGGTATAATTACTTCCATCACGCTAATGCACTCTTAGCGTGTCTCCGCGGATGTGGCCGGAGAGTGTAGAACCAGTGCTGTGATTTAACGGAGAGTTCTTCGAAAAATTTTCAGACAAAGGAGAGTCCAAGGCAGATTAGGCACCATAGGGTTAGGGTGGTTAGTGTCGGAATCAGCTTTCTAGCATTCCCTCGATCTTCTTCGCCTCTTTGGAAGAAAAAGCTTGCTCCTAGATTCTCCTTCAATGATCGTGCCACAGTGCGGGATATCGTAGACTTCCCCGTCCCTGTCATCCCATTCAGCCAAAAGAAACATTTCCCATCCGGAGAAGAGGCCCATTCCTTAATTTGCCGGAGAAGATCCGTTCTTGTGCCTTCCAAACATTCAACCTCATATTAGTCAGCATAAGAATCTGTCAATCACTAGGATTCTGCCAGATACATGCAACCAATTGGATAAAAGATGAAGTACAGTCTGATTCTTTTTCTATGGAAAAACAGTGCTTTAAATACCCCATTTTGGCATCCGAAATACGGCCAACACAACCCTGAAATCCTCTTAAACGAGGCATATAACCATGGTAAACTCGTGAAATCTCTGCAAAATCTCTGTGCAAAAGGCATCGTGCAAGCACCTTGAACCCCGAGGTCGCTGTATATCACGCAGCGGTCTGGCTTGCAGCCTGAGGCACCAAGATTAGCTAATCCCAACAGGCTTGTGGGGCTCTCAATCCTGACAATTATATCCCTCTTAAGGTCTCCCGGGGAGACCTCGACAAAACCCGTAACGGGTCCAAGATCAGGACCCGAACCCGCAAAACCCGTGGAGGGCGGAAACTTGAGTACAGTGGATGAATTCACGTGATATATAGATATATTATTTCAAAAACCCGTGGGGGCCCAAAAAACGTGTTCAAAGACGGGTTTTGTCGAGGTCTAGTCTCCCCCGCATTGAGAGCCAACGACTCAGGTCACGTGGTTCCCGTGACCACTCGTACCGTCGTACCGTCTACCAAATCTCGGACTTCAACTCAACAATTTTCATCGATAAAAATTGCGCACTGCATTCCGTTGCGCCGTGTTAGAGATCTGGAACAGCAGCATAGGCTGTTCACACGCTAATTGAACGTGTCATGGAGGATGCTCCTCAGAGCCTGCCAGATGCCTTATCTGAAGGCAGACGTATCTACCTGGGTACGACCATCTTGCCGACGACTCTGCTGCTTGATAATGCTGACTATTGAAAAATAGGCAACCTTCCTTACACCGCGAAACCATACAATATCGAAAAAATTCTTGCCAACAATGGTTTTAGCCACTTGGAGACAATCCACATTTCCATTGACCCCGTTAATGCGCGAAACCCGGGCTACTGCTTTGTCGATTTCACTGACCGCACGATCGCTGAGCGTGCACTTACATCCTTGAAAGCAGAAATAAGTGGGCGACCGATCAAGGTCGGTCCATGCGAACCCAAAAAACATCACGATCGCCGCTTGAACCGCGAGAACGATTATGTTTTTAAGCGCTGGGGCGATTGGACATCACAACCTAGAGATCGCGAGAATACCACTGGCCGACTCAACAAGGAGGATATTGAGCAGGGTCCCTACGGGGCACTAGGTCACTTTGATAATATGGTTGAGAATTACGAGGGGCGAAGGCTCTATGTCGGTGGATTAGGAAAGATGCTTAATCAAGCCCAACACAATAAAGAGATCACTGAGCTTTTCGCTGGCTTCAACCCGTACGTGAAGACTTTTCATCTTTTCAATAGGATGCATCTTTGCTGATGGGATTTTTTTACTAGGACAGCGGTTGGCAAGCGGATCACTCCACACGAGCATACAAGATCACTACCGGGGGATCACCACTACTGCTTCGTTGATTTCGAAACCAAAGATGATACGGACGCTGCGATGAAAGTACTTAAAGGCAGGCTCTTTAATGGAGGGAGGCTAAAGATAGCACCCGCGAGGGACATACCAAAAACGCTCATGAATCGTCGTACGAACCTAGGGTGCGGTCGCCGCGAGGACGAGAGTTATTACTTGCGCCCGAACAAGTCTGAATATATGGGAGAATCTAATCTATCCAGCAACTGGCGCAGGATGGATAAAGAGTGATCACTCCATCACATGTCACAGTCTTTTGAGAAATATCTGGGCCCATACCAAGAACGGAATCAATTTCTCGGTGGACTGATGCTCAGGGCACAAAGGGTCTGTAAGGCCCTGTTGCCGGAAGTATGTACCCTTCGAGTCGCATTCTATGGAGGCCGAGACCGCACCACTTCTCAGCTAGTCCGTCCAATCTAGACCAGTGGTTGGAGTGTGTACATACAATACAAGAATGGCATTTTAAAAGGCTAACAAAATTGCAAAGAATCCTTGCCCGGCGGTACTAGTACTGTTGGGGTTCTCCACAATTTATCTGTTGTTCCCGCTGTAATATATTTACGGCTCTCATTGGCGACATGTCGGACCTCAATAGCCATAGTAATCGGAAAGCCCCAGTGCTGTATTCCGAATTTGTGAGAAAATATGCGAGATCTGACTATTCAAGACGACCAACTCCTCGAGAGACCGTTGCCACGGGTCTAGAGGGAAGGGTCGAATGCCCTCCATGTCAGACAAGGATTGTGGTCCGTACTTCGCCAATATTCTGAATGGTGACGGGTAAGTCCCATCCTGCATTGCGGCCGCCGCTCGACAGGACCAGAAGAGGTGATCATTTGGTAAGGTGTGGCAGATTATCCCATGCTTCAAGATGCGTGCTCGAAGGCGTACAGTACGGCAGTCGGTTCAATTCCCGCTTCGGCCTCGGCGATGGTGAGGGCCGTGTTTCGGAACACGCCCACGATCGCCTGAGACGCGACTCGTTGGATGGCTTCGAATAGGCGTCCGATCCCCGCCGTAACAATAGAATCCTGTCGTATAGGGCACCACACAGATGCGGTATAATCAATCTTCGATGCGACTGTGGAGGTGAAGAGCTGGCGAGCAACCGAAGGAGGTAACACGCGTAGTCGTCTTAGTGCAAGGGCGGCTTTCATTTCATTATTCGCAGCCTTTCCGATGTGTGATTTGAACCCTACCCCCCGGTCGAGTATCACGCCGAGGATTTTCACTTCAGGCGCCGGGGCAACAGTCGCTCCATTCACGTGTAATGGGACCGCAGGAAGTTGGCGCTACCGCTGGTTCCTCGTGAAGTGGATGAATGATGTCTTACCTGCCTCAAAAGCTGCGCAGACTGCGCCGCCCATCTAACGCTCGTGGGATGAGCTTCCGCTGGAGTGTGGTTGTATTCGCCTCAGCAGATGCGCCTACAGTCCAGCGTGTATAATCGTCGACGAAAGCGATTGCTCCCTTTCCTCTGGTGATAGAGACATCCACCAGGTTTGCAATCAAGAACAGGAAGAGAATAGGACAGAGTGGTGAGCCTTGTGGTAGGCCCACGTGCGCGATAGCCATTTCCTCGGGTTGGTAGGTATTCACGACGATTGACGCCCGTCGTGAGGAGCAGAAACTGTCAACCCATCGGATTAGGACCTCCGGGATTCGTCGTTCTCGCAACATCCGCAACGGGACACCCCGATCCACACCGTTATAGGCTCCCTTGACATCGAAGCTCGCCACACTGAGGACTTTGCCCTCGCACCATGCATCGTGTATCTTTTCTATTAGGATGTTGAGTGCTTGTTCGCATGATCACCTCCGACGAGCCCCAAAATGATCTGGGAGACTAAGCGAATGTGGTATACCCCTGGCCAATGCAGGATTTCAACAGCATATTACGATAGTCCAATAATAGCGTGGCTAGAATGCAGATCACTACCAATCGTGAATGACAGAGATGCCGCCCTACAAATCGTCGACAAAAGTACTGGCCATCCTTCCACACTCTTTTCTCGGTCCTTCTTTCCCCCAGTCGTTCCGGCCCCTCGTCCTCCCCCCCTTCCACCCTTTCACTGTCTCTTCCCATCGATATCCCGTTAGATGCGGAAAACTAAAGCCTGCGGCCGCCTCGAACGAAGACCCCGACCTCGACCTTCCCCTCTCAGCTGATAATAAGACCAGCCGACTCGTCCAAAGATCCATGGAACCTTTATTTTCGTGCTATTTATTCCTAGCAAGAGGCTGGTACATTAAAAAAAACTCACAACAGAAAATAGAGATTTCTACGAATGTATTTTTTGGCGAGAAGGGCGAACCACGGGTGTAATCGAGGTGTGACTCAGACGGACAATTCTTTCAAACACCAATGAGACCTCAATGTTGTGTTACAGGCTGAAGGTACCGATAATGAAAGAAGATGTACTTGAAAAGGCAGTCTACTTTCATAATCAAAAGGATTGTTGAACAATATATACTATCCTTAAATCTCCAGTGATGGCGCCGACCAAACCATGATAGTGTGAGGGGACGCAACTCTCTGGCTGATAAGAAAGCATGAGCTGATTTAGTCTCTCGGCTCCCTCGATCGGACCAAGAATACCGGACAGCGATGGAATCACTCCAGTGGCTTGCAGGGGCCAGAAGGCAGTTTGAGATCGTCGAAATCCTTCAATCGCCTCAATGCAGTCCGCCGCGATGCAGATAATATCTCTGCTCCAAGCATCGATGAGGTTATCTAAGCCACTAGGTAATGGTCGCGCGTGACTCATTATGACACACTGTGAACTGGAAGATTATGCTTTGTTGTGATACATTTTGACTATCATTCTCGGCTATCGGGTGTCCGGTCCATTGAAGAAATCAAAGGATATCTTATAAACAATATACGCCACCAAGTTCGCCATTAGCATCAATGTACACACCCAGAGCCAGAGACCGTTGATCTCAATAGATCTGGCATTCCAACATAAAAGGCTCTTTGGCTAGCATTGGCTGCATTGGCTGAAGTCGGCTTATGGTGTCAATCATCAATGTGTGTTATCCCAGGCAGGTCAAAGTAAGAGCCGTAGTACTACAGTCAATGTGGCATGGCTGCGGTACACTCAGTGAAAATAAATTCAGTGGGCGATGGCTTAGACCCTGAAAATTCGATTATCAACGAGTGAGGCGCTGGTGCAGATTTCCTCCAAACACAGCATGATCGTCGGCTTCTGTTTTAGATCAACAGCCAAAGCTGAAGTTCAGATGATAGTGATAAAAGTGCATGCTGTCGCATTCGAGCGATGATCGCTGCCCACTGTGTTCAAGTGTTGAAAATACGGTCGTTGCGACAAGGTTGATCGTTGATCAACGCTCTTCAGGACAAATTATAATCAAATATAAAATTAAGAATTTATAACAATATATCAATAATTTAAAATTTCAGAAAATTACTTGAGGGCACGATCCACCTTAAGAGGACCGTCCATTTTTCACCGGCCTGTACTTGGACCAATTTTTGCCTGGCCCATCACCTCAGTAAAGGAAATTCAACAGGCCTTACTTTGCACAGGCAAATTCGATGCCCCCGAAAGCAATGCCCCCCAAAAGGCGACAGACAGAAAAGACTTCACCGCGGCAATACAAAGCGGGCGGTAACAAGACCAGTCAAGAAACCTATAAATATGGCCTCCTCCATCGGTTCTCTGTCGAAACAACTCTCTTCCTTACTGCATCCGAAGAATCCCTTAAGCCAAAACGAGATGCCTTCCTGTAGAAGACTCATGATAAGTACCTTCTCTTTGACCCCGAGCTCTTGCTGTCACTGATACCCACGGTGCACACCCAAACCACCAAGTCACCTGGCTCTCTCTACCCACTGGATGGCTCGCTCCACTGTACCGGTCTTCGTGCCTGCCAGTCAGACCATGAGTCTTGACTGGCCACAATCCTTTTGTATGTGCTGAAGTATCCATGCCCTATTGAGTTGAGCTAATGATGTGACTTCTGACTAGCTTCTTGGCCATGAGAGTGCAAGTGAGGCATCCTGCAGGTAAGTCATTCCAGCCAACTCCATGGAACACTACTGAAAAACCTAATGTTATGACCAGCCAGGTCTATCCAACTAGGGCGGCCCCAAGTCAGCACTCCTCAGGGTATACATCTACCTGACGGCCACACTGATAATGAGAACGTCATGAGGCTCACGCTCTTGAAGTGAAGGATCACGCTTTGTGAGTCATGGGCCCATACTTTGGGTCCATTGCTGACATGAACTTGTCAAACAGTGCCTCCAGCGAGATCATCAGCGAGACCTCTGAGTATTGAATGCCGCCATCCCAGAGCCCTCCCCAATTCATGCCCACGTCGCCGTAATCCTGAATGATTCGATGTTCTGAGTTTCTCAAGCAAGGCTACTTTTGCACTCCATCGCGGCCACAACTGTTGTGCGGCTGGACATCCGTTGGATAGATACGTCTGCTCGGTACTTCTGCCCCATAACCACCCATCGACCGTCAACCATGATCTTGGCTGAAGGGCAGATGGACTTCATCGAAGTCATGGATTTGAAAGACGGGGGATGCGTTGGGTCAAATTTGAGATTAGGCTTGTCCTCGCAAGACGATAGCTACGCTGTCTTGACAATGTTGTGTATCGTTCGTATAAGGCGAAAGTAGATACAAAGACCGTGAGTGAACCCTCATATTATCAGACACATGCTGACTATCTTGCATGGCCACGAGCCAAGACGCTGCTAAGCATGACGTACCGCTTAACGAGCCTCGCACGCGTCTTGCATTGTCGCCACTTTTGCCATGAAGTGATGTATCTCGCTTTGAAAACCGTCTCAAAGTGTGGGAGTTGACGCGACTCACGACTGACTCACGATTGCTGAAATCACACACACCGCTCGCCAAAAACACTGGATGCCAACCGAATGGCAGCGCTAGCCGAGAAAATGAGCAACTACTCCGCATTTGGTTGGAGTCGAGGCTGCAATGCGACCCTTGTACCGACCGAGAACACACGACGCCTCATGCGAAGACCAACTTCGGTCTGATAAGCTTGGGTGTTGAAGGACCCTTTCACGGCGGGACTGGCTTCCTCACCTGCGGGGTGTACGAGTAAGAAGAATGCCGGAAGTCAATCCGGTGGGTGGACAGATCTTGCTTTCCGGGACAGACGTCGATCGCATGAATTAGTCCTGGAAGATGGCCATGGAGCATTCTGCCACAAGGCTTGTCGCTTTC